GATGCGCATGGACAGTAGGATCCCCATCTCAGGATATGTTGTTATGGTTGACACAGGTATTTCCAAAGTGCAGTATGCGTAGTATATGTAAAGAGAAATAGCAGCCAATAGTGAAGTAAGTACTTATGGTGGAATAAATAATGAGTAGTATTGTACTTACAATTTATAGAGCATTAAACCTGCTCTAGTGTGGACAGCTTGGGTGGTATAATCCCCACCAAGGATATGCAGCATCCAAGAAGCAACAAAAAGAATGAGTATAAAAAGTAACAGAATAAAAAAACATAAAAGGTATGAAGGAGAGTCCCACTTAATGCGTTTTGCCTAATAAGGCCTCTTCAGAAGTGTAGCATAGCCTTCCCTGGGTTCACTAAATTCGTAAATTGTCCTTCCTGGTGTGTCTCTTCCTGTTTCCTGGTTCCAGTTGAAACGCACGCGTCATACCGGAAATGATGCGATACACGCATCATACTGGTAATGACTTGGCGTTGTATAATCATTTGTGTATTACTATTGCGCTAATGTGGAACGCACGCATCGCTCAGAAACAGCGTGCGTCGCGTTCCAGGCGCATACATCAAATGTCCAAACATTTTCAACGAAGGAGGGGCATAAGAAGCAGGCGTGTGTCACATCTCCATGCTTATAATGATGGCTTAACGGCCATATTCGTTATGGGCATGAAAAGAAATAAAATGAGTAGTCACTAGGTATTGATATCAATATTATACAATAAATTATTATACTGATTTAGATAAATAAAATATTAAGGATGACTATTGCTGGTGATATAAAACTATAAGAATATAAAAAATATAAAAATATCACCAGCAAGCAAGGAATAATAGAGTTCATTTACATATAAACTCATGACAGAGCATAAGGAATAGTATTATGAATATGACAAACATAATAATACTGAATAAATATAGTTCATACATATTAATTGAAGTGCACTGAAGGTGAACTGTATCCAAGTGTGCATTTAATTAAAGTGCACGTTATCCAAGTGTACATTTAGGTAATTTAGTATGATTTAAGTACAAAAAACACTGGTGCAGTATACATAGAGAACAGTCTTGTGAATAAAAACATATATTCATTAGATATTGAGATAGGATTGTTGTAAAAAAGGTTAAGGGCAATGGATAATCAGAATGCTGCAAACAAAAAGATAAAATAATTCATAAAAAAATGTAATTAAAAATTTGGGTTATAAAAGATTATAAAAAATTATATAAATCAAAGTCAACATTTAGCCCATTTGGATGTAGGGTATCTAGCTGATACACCCACTGTATTTCTGTTTGTCCAATCTTTTTAACATCTCCTCCTCTTCAGTGGTTTTTAACAATTGCAATCCCAATAAATGTGAGGTGCTTGAGGTCATTGCAATGCATGCAGAAATGGGCTGGTACTGAGTGTTTTTAAGACTTTTTTCTATATTCCTGCAGTGTTCTGCTACTCTTGTTTTTAATGGTCTAATTGTTCTACCTACGTATTGGAGGCCACACGGGCACTCCAATAAGTAAATTAAATTTTTACTGTTGCATGTGATGACCTCTTTGATATTGTACATTTTACTTGTATTAAAATACCCTAAAGTTAGTAATAGTTCTTTTTGTTGATTTTGTTTTCATGCATGCCAGGCAGCAGTTGCATTTATAAAAACCTCTTTTGTTCATAAAATTATCAATTTTGTTAGGGCTCGTCTTTGTAAATGTTTTGTTAAGTGCATTTTAAGATTTGGCGCACCTCTAAATATTACTTTTGGTTTGTCAGGGATTATATTTTTTAGGATATCATCCTCCTTCAATAAGTGCCAGTACTTTTTTATAATGTTTTTCAATTGTTTGTTTTTGTTGTTATAATCTAATACAATTGGTAAGGTAAATTCAGAGTTTCATTGATTCGCTTGGGTTTTGAGTTGATTCCTATTTAATATGGCTGATTAATTGTTGACTCGATGTTTGCAATACTATATCCTTTTTGTACAAAGCTCTGTTTTAGCGTATTGGCTTGTTTAATAAACATGGACGTATCCGAACAGTTTCTTTTAAGGCGCATTATTTGACTTTTTGGTATGCTGTCCAGCCATATTTTATTATGACTGCTATCGGTACTTATATAATTATTTACATTCACATATTTAAAGTGCGTTTTGGTTTGTATTTTGTTATCTTTAATATAAATATTTAAATCAAGGTAGGTGACCATGGTATTACTAAAATCCGCAGTTAAAACTATACCTTCTTCATTTTTGTTTAAAAATGAAATAAAATCCTATGATGTGCATACCGTCCACGCGCATCACAGTTGAGCTCTGTTATAGCTCATATAAATGTGAGTGGATTCTGTATAGTTATATTCACCACTTCACGATATAAGTTTACTGTATTGCACTATTATTTTTTTACCTGATCTTCCGAGGTTTAATCCATTGGAAGTACTTGGGAATATATGTACGTATATTTTGTATATATATAAATCACTAGGCGCGGTCTACGCCTCTTTTTGTTTTTTCTATCTAGCCACAAGGTTTTGGGAATCCATGTACTGTATACTGCTGCCTGTCTACAATACACTATAGTGAGCCCCCTTTTTTCACTCTCTATACAGGCGACTGAAATCCACCTCAATTTCCCAAAGACCACCTGTTCCAGATACTGTTTGAAAAAAAAGAACTTTGGCAGATGAGGTGAAAGTGGAACTTTTAATCATCAATTAAAAGTGCGATATTTGGGGAAAAGTAAACACTACATTCCACATTACAAACATATTTCAAACATGAAACAGAGTGAGACCATATTTTGAGTCTGTATGCAGCCATGACATCCAGAGAGTCAACAATAAAAGGAATAATTAATTCTAGATTATAAACAGAAATTCCACAGGAGAATATCATGAAGCTTAATGGCAAACTATAATTTCTATAGAATTTCCACCATTTAATAAAACATTGAAAATCACCTAAAACTTAACCCTATTTTAACTTTATATTAAAGATTTATCAAATTATATTACAGTTCAGATAAGGCATTGCAAAGACTGCAATTGAAGAGGATGAATCTAATTATGGTTTAATTTCTTATCTTCTCTATTTGCTTTCTCTATGCAGACTTCCAGGTGCAAAGGACAGAGCTCAGAATAGTGATTGACAGGGAACCAAGATGACAGGGTGTACAGCCACCAGGCCCTATACCCCATATTTGTGTGTATTTATGTGTTTGTATATATATATATATATATATATATATATATATGTGTGTGTGTATGTCTGTAGCGAGTACCGCTACATCTATGCAGATGCGGGTCTCTGTGTATGTGTAGTAGATGAGGTGTGGGAAGTGTCTGTGTAGTGGATGTAGTGAATGCAGTGTCTGTGTTTGTGCAATGGATGCCATGTCTGTGTTTGTGGTGTTGGAAAAGGAATGTGGGGGTAGGCAGTTTTAAAAAAAATTAAACCTCCAGCAGCTGAGCAGGAGGTCTTATCCTTCTTTCGCAAGACATGAGTGTTGCCACGGGCTGCCATGGAAACACTCCACGCAGTAACACTCTCGCGACTTGATCTGGGCCTGCTGTTGGAGGTGGAAGATGAGACTTCTGGACCCTCTCTTCATTGTATAAGCATACTGTGCCACAAGCCCACCAGGAACTTAGTGTCCCACCCCCTGTACAAAGGTAAAAGGCAAAGAGGGCAGAATAAACATCATTAATTTATAAAAAAAAACTGCTCACTCCCAAAGCCCTTATCCAACACCACAAACACAGACACAGACACTGGATACATTGCACAAACACAGACACTGCATTCACTAGACACACTGCATCCACTACACAAACACAGGCACTGCATACACCTCATGTACTACACATGTGCAGACACTGCATCTACTACACACATTGCATCCACTATACACACATGTTCTCTGCATCCACTACATCAGACTTGGAAGTTGGCCCTCTGGGCGGATTCAGGAGCAAGGCCTTGAGCTGTGTAAGGGGCCCCAAAATTTCTCATGGCAGTTCTGTGTAGGATTTCTGTGTACAGAGGTGTTGAATTTTAAATTGTATTTAATTTTTAACACCTTTGTTAAATATAATGGACAGGTCAACGTGATATCAAAAATTCGAGTATATGACAGTTTCCCTTTGAGAGAAAGTGGGTCATTACCTTGAACACATTACCATACAAACGAATGACTGATGTAGAATTAACGTCACATTTTATGATGGGTAACTGAGCAGTTCATGCAACAGAGCACATAAATCAAGACATTTCCAAGTGACATGTCAGCTGCATGTTAGCATTTAGAGATAGAAGATATACTAATATATTCACTACATCACATTAAAAAAAAAAAAAAAAAAACAGGGTGGAAAATTATTGTTCAAACCTTAAATTTGAAAAGCAGCAAGGAGGACAATCTGTCACACCTAACCACCCAAATCATGTTTGCTAACAATTGTCATTCTTGTCTGCCTTGTATTTGTCACAGATCCCGAAACATACATTGAATTGACCTTACAATGCATTTCACCTTAATGTCACTATTTTCATCACTGATTTAGTGCATGTCAATCAAACAGTCTGACCTAACGTAGGTAGGTAGGTAGGTAGGTAGGTAGGTAGGTAGGTGGGGTGTGTGTGTGTGTGTGTCCAATTCTACTTTACACTTTAGTTTGATGAAATGTGTGAAGAGTTTGTCCTCTTTTTTTTTCACTTCACAAAAAGTGCAGATTTCAAAATAAATACTACTAAATACACACACACACACACACACACACACACACACACATACATATATATATATATATATATATATATATATATATATATAATACATTGCTAAACACAAATACACACACCAGTCAAGCCATAAGGCTTGCTTTTCCCACAGAAATCTCACTTTAGTAGTGCTCTCACTACTGCAAGGGATTCTGGGTAGGTATATGCAAATGAGCTCAACAAAGAACACACATCTTTTGGTGTGTGTGTGTATGTATATATTCATACATACAATTTTTTTCCTGTGTATGTATGTATGTATATATATATATATATATATATATATATATATATATATACATACATACACACACAGGAAAAAAATTGTATGTATGAATATATATATACATTTTCATACAATGTTTTTTTCCTGTTATGGTTGAAAACGACTGTATACCACTAGCTCAGTATGTATAAAATGTTCATATCTAATGGGTTTCTGAGAGACATTACTTTGGATGTAATACTAAATTAATAATGAAACTTTGTGGCCAAAATGTTTTATAAATCTGTTCTTTCACCTCTTGTTCTGAGGTTGGGCTGCGTTCTACATTCCATGCATGTACAATGTGGGAGTTACATCTTCTCAAACCCTATAACTAAAGCACTTGGACCAGGATTAATGAAACGATGAACGATGATTGCGGATGATTAGTTATCAAGGAGCAATGATCATCACTTGAGACTCCTGATAAACTTTAAATAAGGTTATGGTGAACTGAATGTGTCTGTGCTTCTTGTGTATTCATCGCTTCTGGTTAATGGAAATTTAGGAACCTTCTGAGGTGACATTCCTTTGCAAGCACTGCACATTCACAGACTAGTGCTGGGAAATGTTAAGGAGTGATCTCAAAAAATAAAAAAGTGAAAGAAATTAATGGCACACACCCACACGCCATGCTGGGTTTGTCTCCCATTTAATAGATTAAGAATGCCCCCCACCTCCATTTGTAGTTCAGAAGAGGGGAAGGGTCTAGGTTTTTGGCAGTTTGTTTCATTATTCCGGTACCTATGCTATGTTATATTATAGTTCTGTTAAAATGCAAATTTAAAGGGACACTATAGGTACTCCATCTCAGTGATGTGGTCTGGGTATCATGTCTTTCTTGTTTAACCCTGCAGGTGAAGAAAAACCTCCCGTTCTACAGATCAGCAATGTTTTTATTGCAGGTTTTAAATGCCTCTAGTGGCTCTCAGACAGCCACCAGAGACTTATTTTTTTAATTAAAATCTGCTATTTAAATAGATGGTCTCAAACCAGTATTTTGCAGCACATGTGCAATAGTCACCCAGTGCTTTCATGTGGGAAAGCCTTGGTTTGGCTGAGATCATCAAGGAGGCAAGGATAGTGGTGTGGAGACCGGCGCTGCGAGGCAGATAAACAACCTTCTCTACCCCCTCTTAAACAGCTAACAGGGCCCTACATATTGTCCTCATCCTAGCTCTTACCCGACTTCCCCTTTAGGGAACACTATAGTCACCAAAACAACTTTAGCTTAATGAAGCAGTTTTGGTGTATAGATTATGCCATTGCAGTCTCACTGCTCAATTCTCTGCCATTTAGGAGTTCTCTCCTTCAATGCTCCCAGCAACAGTGACCAGTGACTTATAAAATAGAGCAATACTTGAAGTCTAACAAACTCTAGGCTGTAGCTCCCAAATTAATCTTATTCCAATATGATTATAAATATATATAGTATTAACATTTGTTAACGTGTATCTGTTATCTGTGAAACGTAGCTAACTAAAGGGCCAAAGAACATATTTCTCTAAAAGATGTTATTAACAGATGGTGTATGATCATAAATTATTGTAGTAACCAGATGCACTATATCTTGGAGTAAAGTGTGTACACATCGAACATTTGTCAGGGAAACAGGATAGATATGCATCTCATTCAGAATGGGGGAGCTATTAAAGGGAAGCTAAAACGTTTCTGAAAATTGAATAAAACCTGAAAAATAGAATAGAAAACAACAAATATGTTTTACCTAATCGTTGAATTACCTTTGCTGTATAAACTTACTGATACATGAAAAATAAAACTTCATAAAAAAACAACAAATTAGAAATGAGGAAGCTTAATGATATAATATAGCCAACTCGCAAGAAAAGTCTGGCAAAGAATCTGTTTTAAATAGGTAGCACTACAACCTATACTAGAATAGGTACCTCTTGTTAAACTTCTGAAGTGTTTAATGTAGCTTAGATTCATCCTTTGTTCCAGTACGGATCAACACATACAGGCAAGTCCAAATAACGCTTTTTGTGCAAATGAAAACAAATCATGTTTGCAAGCTCACGTTCGAAAGAGCCTCTTCCCTGTTTCCTTGTATTAAATTCCATTGAGGGAGCATTCCAAGCACCGTAACCACTGCATAGTGTTGTAGCGGTTATAGTGCCTTGGCACCTTCGCAGAGTAAGTAGTAAAATGTTTTTCAATTGGTTGATGAACTTACTTGGAACCGTAGGGTGCTAGTTACAGCTTCCAAGAGCAATGAAATCTACTGGTCGGAGATTCCATGAGCTCCCCAGATCAAACAGCTGCTGAATTTAGTCTTGTGGACTATAGTATACCCATTGTACAGCGCTACGGAATTAGCTGGCGCTATATAAATAATACAATAATGTTAATAATAGTAAAATCTTGAATTTTTTCCCCTTACAAAGGACAACTTAGACTAGAATGCGGGTTTTAATATTAAGTGTTTTATAAGAATATTACAAACTGTCATGCCTACCCATTTTGGACTTTGAGTCTTTTGGTAGATAGCATCCTGATACCGTGGGAATTAGGGAATTATCTACTAAGCGGCAGTCACACCACGAATTGGAGCAGAATTTCATTCATTCAAATGAAATTCCGAACCAAACTAAATGCACAAATTTCAACACGAATGGACAAATTGTACAGATTCTGCTAGGACGAAATGTTGTAGTTTCGCCGGTGTTAGAACGGCGAATGAAGCAACTAGAGATCACAGAGGAGAGGTGACTATTGTGGGAAAAATTATTTGACCACAGGAAATGGAGCGGACTTAAGCTCCTCACTGGGTCAAAGATGGTCAAGCATAGGAATAATACATAAGACAAAGTAGTCCCTATAGATATCAATACATCAGTGATCATTTTGTATTTCACAGAATGTATGTATATATATATATATATATATATATATATATATGTATGTATAGCCAGCAGGTGGGGTTATTTATTAAACAGGGAGGACCTAGTGTCACCCCTGCCCCCACCAATGGGTGGTGAATGAGGTTCTAACTAAAAAAGGAAATGGACATGCTATTATCAACTCCCCCGGTTGGCTTCTTACCATAAGAAATCTTTTTTCTTGTACCTTCTTTTCTTCAGCCCCACAAAAGGCCAAATATCAAACCATAATTACCAATCTTACTAATAAAGAACAGTAGCTTTAACAAAGGCTTTTTCCACGCTTTGAAATATCAGTACAGCACTCTGATTGGGTGGCATGCCCGACAGGTAAGTCTTCCTTCTCTCAAGAATTGCCTGGGAATATTCTCATAGCAGTGGATTCAAAAATACAATTGGTAAGAAAAAATATAGCTACAAAATGTTATTAACGTGATTAGATTATATGAACCTCTTAGCATAAGCAATAGTTATATTTAGAAAAACATATTTCTATTACGTAGTATGTTGATTTCTCTGAAGAATTGCTAACATATGCCCAGATTATGATATAGGCAGATGTTTGTTAGAAAATTGGCTTTGTAAAACTAAACTAACTTATATAAATAAAAGTAAACCATAAATACATGTATATATAATAACCATACATTTATCACTGATGTATTGAATCATATATAAACTCTAGAGCAAATGGTAACATCGCACTTAAGATATTCTTTAAAATCCTTATGAAACACTTCATATTTAAGACCCCACATTCTAGTCATAATTGTCATGTGTAGGGTTTTAATGGGTGCAAAATGTTTACTATAGTCCACGTTCAGTTTGAAAGAAGTTAAATAGCATGATTCAGGAATCTTGTAAAAATGATTCAATAAGTTTTCTCGCACATGAAATCCATAAAAATCTATTGAATGTCTTACTAAATTAAAGAACACCTTATGGAGAAACATACTTCACATGTGCATGCTAAATATGCAGAAGAATTTCTGCAAAATTAAAACTGAATGCCAAAAATTATATATATATAGATATATATATATATATTATATTTGAAATAGTAGATGAAGCACACTCAGTGGACTTTTCTGCAAGTGAAACGAATGACTGTATTTACATACAAGTAAAACTGTTTGGTATGTAAATAAAGTTATTTGTTTCACTTGAAGACAAGTCTACAGAAAGCGCTTATTATTTCCTATATTATTATTTTTTTTTTCTTTAAAATATTTTTTATTGGTTTTATCACAAAATACATAAAACTCGAATAAATACAAATTTCTTCACAATAGTCTTACTTTGACACAAATGACATAAAACATACAAAACAATCGACCTGTCAATTAGCAATATATTTCTATACTATTATAACACAGTACAGGTAATACCCTATGTCTATCAACTACCTCAACATATTGTCCTCATCCCAGCTCTTACCCGACTTCCCCTATAACAAACACAATCCCCAAGCCTCCATCTTAATCATTTTTTACGCCCATACCCTGGAAGGAGGATAAGCTGAAATATAGCCATCTTCTATACTAAAAAGGGGAGACGCTATATATACTATTTCCTATATTATAACCCAGTGTTTTTCATTGTGGCAAGTATTGTGTGTGGAGTAGTCTAGATAATATATACATAGATACATATTTCATCTAATTGAAGTGATTATGGTGCCTGTAGCTCTGGCACCAACTCATAGTTCAGTGTATCACATTATTCAAACAGTTTAACGTTTAATGAGGGTCACCAGGCTCCTGTACCTTATCCTCTCTGCTATTGGGGTTAGTGCATTAGCTCCAGAAGCAATAGGCAGCAGTGAGATGCTGAGAGAGTAACTCTGCCTTAAGCATACATCCAGTGGCCTTGTTAGGGGAGCACTTAGACCCTCATTTAATGTTTCAAAATGAAAACTGAACCCTACGTCAGAGCCAGCAGACTCCAGGCTCCATAACCACTTCAATAAGATTAAGTGGTTATGGTGTCTAGAGTGCTAATTTAAATGCTTTCCATGATGAAGGTTGATAATAATACAGGATTTTTAACCAACATCTATAGATATTGTGAATTGTATATTTTTTGTTTATTGAAAGTAAACACCTGCCTCATAATACTGAGGTAAAACCATGATTTATACGTGAAGAAAGGAACACAACATTCCACTCCATTTAATTATCTA